TTAATTTAATCAATCCTAGGATAAGTTACAAAACTGATAATATATTGCCACTTATTATAATTTTTAATTAAGTGTTACTAAGTTAAAATCTGTAAGAAGTGAATTTGGAAGAATGTATTATGCAATTAAGCTGTTACAATTAATGTTTAATTGCTTTGATAGTATTTTTATTTTAATGATTTTTATAATACTCAAATTATATATTACTTTCATGTTTCTAAATAAATATAGTGATTTATTGCAGTTTGCAAAAAAATGTGAAATTTGATGATCAAAAAAAAAAGCAACAATGATTTTTGATTCTGATTGCCAATTTTTTTAACATTTTTTTAAACTTTTAAATTAGACTTTTGGATTAGACTTTTAGATTAAAATAAAATACATAATAATAAACTTATATCTAATAATTTATTAATTTAGTTTGAAAATTTCCTGGGTCACTGGCTTGTGACAGTGATTAAATGAGGTACATAACTCCTGTTCTAAGGATCTAGACTTCTGTAACACTATACCAATAAGGAGTACTATAAAAGGATCAGTAGCTAATTTGGTGGTGTATAACATGAATACCTGGATCGATGTGAAATATCATTCTAGTTTGGCAACTTAACTGTTTGAGATATGGCTAGGTCTATAAAGTAACTCCTCTAGGGACACCAAACTAGAAGCATGAAGAGCGCCTACTCGAAGAACACCAATTTGGAAGTAATACAAGTACTAAATTAGGAGTAATGTGATAAGTGATGAGAGATAGAAGTTGGTTGGTAGACATTGTACAGTAGTATATAAGCAAGATATATATGATAAAAATTAGGCTTGGGAACTATCTGGTGATTTAGTAACTGGTCTAGTTGCAGGGCGGTTATTAAGAAGATAAAATCATATAGCAGGTTATACATAGATACTAATTTAGTAACCAGGTAAGCTAATATCTCATAAAACATTAGAGAGTTGTAATTGTACATGTGATATTTGTAACCAAATACCTTAGTGTACTAATAAATGATATTGGCAAGACTGCCAAATTTAAAAAAAAATAAAAAATTTAGTTTGAAAATTTAGAGTTTTTATTATTCTTCTTTTTAAAAATACTTTCTGCTTTTAGCGAAGACCTTCACTAGTGAATTGTATTTCTTTACTATGATGGTTACAGTAAAAAAAAATTGCAGAGTTATTGCATATTAGCAAATCAATGGTAACAAAAGTTATAAAAATATATAATAAGTAGAATTGTGTTATTAATTCATTTACTGCATACTGTGGTAGATATAGAATATTTAATACACATGATATGCAAGTAAATATAACTTATTGTATATTTATTTTTCTATTTTTTTGTATATTTATTTTTTATTTCTTATCTCAATATGATTTTATAATAGAAATTTATATATTATTAATCATAAAAGATTTTTTTTCTTATTTGTTATTACCCGGGCTTTATTTGTTATTACTCTAGGAAAATAACAAATAAAAAAAATCAAATAATAAAATATAAATTTCTATTATGCAATCATAATCTAATAGAGAATATCTCATTATTTATTGTGCTTAAAAAATATTTTATTATTTTTTAAATTAATAATTTTTTTTATTAAATATTAGATTTTATATTCTCTAGTTCAAAGTAAACTAAATTGGTTTTTGGATGAATTAGTAAATGAAATGACAATACAAACTGGAAAGAATATGTCTATATCTACACTTTGGAGGGCATTAAAATTTTATAGAATTACTCATAAAAAGATATAATTTTAGTTATATTTATAAATTTAATATAATATATTTATTATATTTAATCTTTATTATTTATAGTTAAATAAGTTAGCATTAAAAAGAAATGAGCTTTGCCATTCAGCTTTTATTGCTGAAATTGGTGAACACTATCAGCCAAGTCAACTTATCTTTACTGATGAATCATATAAAGATGACCATACATTATCTAGATTATATAGATATTCAAAAAAAAATGCCTGAGCCCATAAAAAAGTAGTTTTCATATGTAGTAAATGTTATACTATATTGCCAGCTTTGTCATTAGCTGGAATTATTACAGTTGAAATTATTGAAGGAAGCTGTATTAAAGAGACATTTGAAAACTTTATTATAAATCAAGTGGTAATATAAAAATAAATAAAATTTATATTTTATTTTTATATTATTTTAATTTTATTTTTATATATTTATATCCTTCAAATGAATTCTTATCTAAATAAAAATAGTGTCCTAATATTAGATAATGCACAAATTCATAATAATAAACTCCTAATTAGAATTATTAAAGCAATAGGTGCTAGAATTCTTTTTCTTCTACCATATTCACCAGACTTCAACCCAATTGAATTGGCATTTTCTTTTATTAAAGAATATCTTAAATAAAATCAAGAATTTGTTAAAATGTCAGCAGATCCAATATATCCAATTCAAATGGCATGTGCTGAAATTCCACCAAATATAGCATATGAATTTTTTTATAAATCTATTTATATTTAAATATTGTTATAATTTACAAAGATAATATAATTAAATTAGATAATAAATTTGTCTATTATATTTTAAAATAATTCAATTTATAAGAAATATGTATTTGCTAAGCAAAATTTTATTGTATACAAGAATTGTATTAGTATTTCTTTATTATTATATATTTATAAATTTGTACTAAATACATTATGCCAGCATACTTTTACTTTATATATTTTAATTTTAAAGAAAAAGATGTATAATTTTGATCAAAACTCAAAATTATGTATCTTCTTCTTAAAATTAAAAATTACAAAGCAAAAGTATACTAGTATAATATATTTTTATATATAGAACAAGATTTCTTAGAACATGAAGATAGTATTTATTAATTAAATTTTGAGAATTATAGTATTTTTTATAATTTTACTAATAAAATTATAAAAAATACTATAATTCTCAGTTTTATTAATAAATTCTATCTTTGTGTTCTAAGAAATCTTGTTCTACACATAAAAATATATTATTCTGGCATAATTTTGCTTTGTAATTTTTAATTTTAAGAAGGTGTATAATTTTGAAATTTGATAAAAATTTCAAATTTATGTATCTTCTTCTTTAAAATTAAAAAAAATAAAGTAAAAGTATACAAGTGTAACATAATTTTGTATGTATAATAAAGTTTCTTAAAACATAAAGATAGAATTAAATAATATTTCAAAAAATATAATATTTATTATAATTTTACTAATAAAATTATGAAAAATACTATAATTCTAAAAATGTAATTAACAAATTCTATCTTCAAGTTTTATGAAAACTTGTTTTATACATAAAAATATATTATGCCAGCATTCTTTTGCTTTGTAAATTTTAATTTTAAGAATAAGATGCATATTTTGTAAATTTTGATCAAAATGCATCTTTTTCTTTAAAATTATAAAATCTTGTTCTACACATAAAAATACATTATTCCGGCATTCTTTTGCTTTGTAATTTTTAATTTTAAGAAGAAGATGCATAATTTTGAAAATTTTGATCAAAATTTCAAAATTATGTATCTTTTTCTTTATTCCGATATAATGTAATCTTATGTGCAGAATAAAGTTTCTTAGAACATAAAGATAGAATTAATTAATAATATTCCAAAAAACATAATATTTATTATAATTTTACTAATAAAATTATAAAAAATACTATAATTCTAAAAATATTATTAATAAATTTTATCTTCATTATGAAATCTTGTTCTACATATAAAAATACATTATGCTGGCATTCTTTTGCTTTGTAAATTTTAATTTTAAGAAGAAGATGCATAATTTTGAAAATTTTGATCAAAATTTCAAAATTATACATCTTTTTCTTTAAAATTAAAAATATAAAGTAAAAGTATGCCAGTATAATGTAATCTTATGTGTAGAATAAAGTTTCTTAGAACATAATGTTTCAAAAATCATAATCTTTGTTATAATTTTACTAATAAAATTATGAAAAATACTATAATTCTAAAATATTATTAATAAATTTTATCTTAATATTCTATGAAATCTTGTTCTACACATAAAAATACATTATACTGGCATTCTTTTGCTTTGTAATTTTAATTTTAAGAAGAAGATGTATAATTTTAAAATTTTGATCAAAATTTCAAATTATGCATCTACTTTTTAAAATTAAAAAATATAAAGTAAAAATATGCTGGTATAATGCATTTTTAGGTTGATCTATAGTATAGGTAGGCAGAATAGAATATTAAAGATTATAATATATAAAATTAACTATTTGAACTATTTAAGCAAATTTGTGACTAGTTAAGGTTAGGGTGAGAGTTATAGTTTAAATTAAGGTTAGGTTAGAGTTAAGTTAGAGTTTTTTTATATTATAATATTATAACATTTCTATATTGCCCACCTATACTATAGAAGATTCTATTTTATGTGTAGAACAAGTTTTCTTAGAATATAAAGATATTAATAATTAATAATATTTTAAGATTTACAATTTTTTATTAATAAAATTATAAATTAAGATTTAATTAATTAATTCCATTCTCATGTTCTAAATAATTTTGTTTTATATACATATTTATTTATTAAATATCTAAATTTATTTTATTTAAATATTATAAATAATACAATTTTTATTAATAAAAGAATATATTGTTTTATATTATTTAGCTTAATATCCAAATACTTTTAAATTATACTATATACATTTTATTAATAGCAAATATTTTAGCAATAACATCTTGAATTATTTACATAATTAACAATATTTTTTTGCTAATTCTCTTAATAATATTTGCCAACCCTCCTTATTAATATCATAATTTAAAAATTGAGCATTTGACAAATGAGGTATATGTTTTACTTTTATTGCTTCTGCTTTAAATTTACTTAATGCCTCTAAAATTTACCTTCAGCTTCTTCTTCCATATCTACTTGTTGTAAAAATTCTTCAAAAGATAGAATTGATTTAATTTTATTAGAATTAGAATTAGATTCCAATAAATTATTTGCATTATATTCTAAATTTTAATTTGCAAAATAATAGCTTGAAGGAATATATGGAAAAGGAATAAAATATGGATTTTGTAAGTCAGAATTTTGCCTATAATTCCACATAGTCTTGGAGAAATTTTAAAAATTGCATGAGGTGGTGGAAATTCAATTGTTGCTATACTATTCATCTATAAAATATATAATTTATTTATTTTATAGTATTTTAGTAACAAAAAACTTACTACTGCACGAGCCCATGTAGAATAATGATTTCCAGTAAGTTTAATATGTCCATTCTCAGTTGGCCAACAAGGTTCTTGACATTGATCACATTGTTGTTTAGTATGAATAGTAGATATAATTAATGCCATTTGTAATTTATCTTTATCAGCTTTGTAATTAGATATCTTTGATTTGGAATTAGTATTTTGCTTAAATTTCTTGGTATAATTAACTTCAGTATCAGAATCTGAATCATTCTATTAATTAATAAAATTAGTTAATTTATTTATATATTAGCAAAAATTTTATATATAAATACCTTTTGAGAAACTTTTAATATCTTTTTAAAACTAATTAAAACTTGTATATTTTTTTTATTAGCTTTTGCTTGATTATATTCCTTAATAAAATAATTAAAATCAATTTCATCAACAATTTGTGTTCCTAGTCTAGATTCTTTTCCAGTTTTATATACAATTAAAAATTTGGATTTTTTAATTTTATAATTTTCTAAGATTAACTAAACTTGAAGTTGAATAGTATTAAGAAAGTCTTTGAATAAAATAGTTTGAATTTCTAAAACTTTTGCAGGAAATGCTTCATTATCTTTCCCTTTAACTAATAATCTAAATTTCAATATATTAAACTCATTATCTTCTTCTTCTGTATCTTTGTCATCTTTGGAAATAAGTATAGATTCAGCATTATTAAATTCAAATAACATATTATTCTTATTTTCTTTAAAAAAATTTTGCAAAGAATTAGGTATAATGTTGTTAGATTTAGATATATCTAATGTGTCTTCTATATGAGTAAAATTTACAGATTCTTTATTTTGTAAAGAATTTAATTGTGTATTTTTTACTGAATTAAACTTGTATAATAATCATTTTGTAATATATTTGATTAAGCATTTTTTGCTGAAATAAAAGTTGTTGATTCATTATCTTATAATATATTTGGGTTATCTTTCATAGAAATATAGTTTGTGCTTTCATTATTTTGTAAAGAATTCGAATGAATGTCATAATTTTTTGCTAAAATGGAATTTGTAAATTCATTATCTTGTAATATGTTTGATTTATCTTTCATAGAACTATAATTTGCATATTTATTATTTTGTAAAGAATTTAATTGAATATCACAATTATCATTTTGTAATATATTTGAATGAGCGTTTTTTGCTAAAAAAGAAGTTGCTGATTCATTATATTGTAAGAAATTTGATTTATCTTTCATAGGAATATAATTTGCCCATTCATTATTTTGTAAAGAATTTGAATGAGCATTTTCTGCTGAAAAAGAAGTTGCTGATTCACTATAAATGTAAGAAATTTGATTTATCTTTCATAGGAATATAATTTGCCCATTTATTATTTTGTAAAGAATTTAAATGAGCATTTTTTGCTAAAAAAGAAGTTGCTGATTCACTATATTATAAGAAATTTAATTTATCTTTCATAGGAATATAATTTGCCTATTCATTATTTTGTAAAGAATTTGATTAAGCATTTTTTATTGAAAAAGAAGTTGCTGATTCATTATATTATAAGAAATTTGAATTATCTTTCATAGGAATACAATTTGCCCTTTCATTATTTTGTAAAGAATTTGTTTAAGCATTATTGATTTTTGGTTCTTTTTTTGCACAATAAAATTTACTATTGCATGATGTACAAAAAGAAAATCTAAAGGTTGTATCAAAATTAATCTTATAATTGCTTATTACTGTATGAATCATGAAATTTTAATGTAAAAGCAAAAAGAACCTCTTTAGTATGATTTTTTTAGTTGGAAATAATTTTTTTCATAGTTGCAATTAGTTTTAGAAGTTATTATTGCACAAAAAAGACACTTTGTATATTCAAAACATGTTCTGGAATAATAATTTCTGGCCATCGAAAAAAGATTATTATTAATTTTTTTTTAAAAAAATATAGGAGATTATTTTTTATACCCCTAGATTTATTATTCGTACTCCCTTTCACATAAATCTCCAGATGTTCATGTGATCACGTGAAATGATGATCGATTCCTGAAATATGATTGGACAATAATGTTGTATGAGTATCCAGTTTACAGAAGAAATTCAATAAACTTCATTACTATTGTACATATGTATTACGTGAATTGGTAATACATATTTATTGACCTAATTATCGATAAAAATATCTGTTTATTATTTATAATAAGCTATTACAGTTAGAACCATATATATAAAAATATAAGATTTTTAAATTTTTTTAAATAAGCTAGAACCTATAAAACAGTAAAAAAAGAATGAAATCAGCATTTATCTTGCGAACTACCAGTTAGAAATACATAATTTTAACTAATAGTTTATAAGATTATTTTTTGTAAAGAATTATTTTTGTCAACTTTCGCTCCTTATTATAGCTTCAAGCCCATATTATTCATATAAGTGATTAAAAGTTTTTCAATACAATAAATGCGTATATAAAATTCAGCATATAACTTAACTAGTTAGTATACATGATAATTTAGAATTAAAGTTTCTTTATTAAATACTTCAATTACTAAGAAGCTATGGTCAATTTTTCTTATACTAAAGGTTTCATGTCATTATGCTAGCATTCAATTGCATAAAAATCATTCCAATATGTAAAAAATTTAAATTTCTTTTATTTAATTACAAGTCTAAGTTTATAATATGCATTAATATCAATTATTTATCCTAGACAAAATCAGGTTCTCAACAAAATAATAAAAGTCTTGAAAAATAATCACATTATTCGATTGATAAAAAAATCAAACATCGTTTAACTGAAACAATATGAAAATATACTTGCCTATTGGTTTAAAAAAAAAAGTTAACAATTAGTTTTTCTTTTAGCTGCTAATAATCAATAAATTTGATTAGAAACCTTAACACTTTATTCTAATATATTACCCTATATAGCCTTATCATAAATCAATTTTTTCTAATACAGTAATCACTAACAAATTTGGAAGTACTAATCAAATAAAGTGTAGATAAATTTTAAAGTCCTAAAATGGTGTAGTGTATGGCTTCGATCAATAAATTTTTAAGTACAATTAGTATGAAAAACAAAAGAATGTGGCTTTGGTCAATGAGTTAATTTAATTTGATTAGGGAGATGCGACATGTAGTAGTGTTTCTAAAAATTTATCCTAAAAAGATATAGAATGTTGCTATAGAATAGATTGTGATAATACATGGAAGTGGTCTCTGAGTTTTTGAATCAGTTATTAAATTTATTAACCACTTTTATCAACTCTATGTATTATAGCATATTCTAAGCCGCATACTATACTTTTTTAGAGTAAATTATTAAAGAAAAGAGAGATAATATATACTAAAAAAGTGTAGAGTGTGGCTTTAAATTGATCATGAAAATTTGTGTAAAAAATGATGCAATTGTAAAATGCTTAAAATAAAAAAGGCAAACCCAAAGCCCCAAGATGATATACCATTTCAAGAAAAAGTAGTAGAAAATTTCATATATATCTAAAATATAAAAAGTAATGGGAGTTAAAGTAATTACGAATGAGAAATTATTCAATAACAATACACTTTTTTTGCTTTTAAAAGTTTTCTCCAAAAGCTATAATTAATCATGAATATTTTGAATATTAATTTGTATTAATTTAGCATAAATTAAGCTTTAAAATAAAGTAGCCATGCCAACAAACCTTTTGCATAAACAAATCATGCTCCCTCCTCCTTTAGATATATACAACAGCACTGACGAACTTTTTCAGAGTGTTCAAAGATTTGCAAATTTCCAAGGCTACGTATTAGTTAAAAAAAGAAACCGAAAAGATGGGTGTGGTGAATTAAAAAATATGGAACTACGTTGTAACTGAGGGGGTGTTTATCATAACCCTCTAAATATAACTGAAGAAAGACAAAAAAGCACTAGATTAATCAACTACCCTTTTGAATTGTATGCTACTCGATGTGGTGACAAATAATATTTTAAGGTTCACAACAGTAAACATAATCATGATCTCTCAAATAATATGTCAGGACATCCTATTGCCCATCGACTTACAGAGCAACAAATAGAAAATATTGTATCAATGACTATCTCTGGCTCACATCCTCATGAAATTGTATCAAAACTTCGACAAAATGATTCATTAGCACTAGTCACTAGTAGTGATATTTATAATGCACATGCACAGCTTCGAAAACAAAATCTAGATGGCCGAACTCCTATTCAGGCATTAGTGGATGAGCTTCAAGAAGGCAATTTTTTATATGAATACAAATGTAATAATACTGGCTCCATTACCCACCTATTTTTTGCACATAATGAATCAATTTCTCTTATTCACCAATACTCCACAGTAATTCTTATTGATTGTACCTACAAAACTAATAAATTTAAGATGCCTTTATTAAATTTCATAGGTATAACCAGTTTTAATACCACTTGTTATTGTTGTTTTGTCTTCATGAAGGGTGAGAAAGAAGAGGATTACAAATGGGCTCTAACTCATATTATGAGATTGTTTAATAAAATACAAAAACCTGAAGTTATTGTAACTGATAAAGAGCTAGCTCTCATGAATGCTCTTAGAACGATTTTTCCAAATTCAAATTATCTACTTTGTGTGTGGCACATTAGTAAGAATGTCTTGAAAAATTGCAGACAACATTTTCCAAAAGAAACAGAAAATGAATAGCAAGGTTTTCTTGCAAAGTGGAATGATATTATTCAATCAGAAACAGAAAATGAATTTGGTATAAAATGAAAAAATTTTTGTTCTACTTATATTAATAAGCCCAAAGCAATATCATATCTTCAAGAAACCTGGATGTCATAGAAGGAAAGGTTTGTGTATTGATGGGTGAAATTTAAATTATATAAAATTTTCATAATGAAAATAAGCATTTTTTTAAAAATTAAAAGTATATTCACCCTATCTATAGGTTCGTAAAAGCTTGGACAAATAAATTACTTCATCTTGGAACAACTGCAACATCCCCATTGAGGGTTCACATGCAACTCTAAAAGCATATTTGCAAACATCTACGGGAGATCTTCATTGTGTTTATATGAAAATATCACTGGCAGTAACCAACCAAAGAAAAGAACTTGATACTATGATTGCATCTGAACGTATTCGCACCCCAGTTTTTGCTACTAACAATTTGTTTTATGCAAATATTAGAGGTAAAGTGTCAACCTTTGCACTCAAGAAAATAAATACGCAGTATCAGAAGGTAAAACATGCTACTACTCAGGAGCCCTTACCACTATACACTAGAACCTTCTCAAAAACTATGGGATTGCAATGTGCTCATTTTATTCAACATTCGGGTTATCAAAGTCTAATGCTTAATGATGTCCATAAGCATTGGTGGATTCCAGAAAACCTACCAGCACCACAAATTAATGATACTAGTTCTCATCATGAAGACCCACTACAACTACTTTTTCAAGACCTACAACAAAAATATCAAGAGTGGTCAGAATCCCAGAAATCAGCAGCACAAGATATATTAAAGAGTATGATCAATGAACCAGCAGTTACATTACAAAACCCAGATGTAGTCCGTACCAAAGGACATCCTTCTGGAGCTCTTAATCAGCAGCAAACTAATTCTACCAAAAGAGACCCTTCTGGTTTTGAATTGGTAGATAACAAAGTAAGACTTTGTACCCTTTGCCGACAACCTGGGCATAATGCTCGCACTTGCAAAAATAAAAACAATTCAGTATAAAAAACTAT